TCTGCTTCTCCAATCCATTCCCAGTCTGGAGCACAACTGGTCTTAGATGCAAATCTGACCAACTCATTTTTCTGCTTCATCATTCACCCACTAATGACTCCCCATTGTCATCAGGATAAAGTTCAGATGCTTAAGGCCCTGGCATCTCTGCAGCTTCAGAACATCTCTGATTCTTATTCCAGAGTTTTTCCCAGGAGACTACAGCATCTCTTCAAACCCACAATAAATCTGTTATTTTTCAGTTGTGTTTATTATTGTGGTGGTGATTGTGTGTTTGTTTTCAACTCTATGTTTTGGGACTAGCAAAACATTTATGAGAAGTGAAAGGCCATTCTAATCCCTAAACTAATGGAAACTCTCAAGCATTTAAAGAGAAAAATTCAATTGGTTATCAAAAAATTTAAAGCACATAAGGTAAAAAAAGAAATGCATAAGTAAAGGTAGTTCTGTTCTCAAAAATAACTTTTAAACTGCAAGGAGGTTTACAAATACCTTGATTCATAAGGATAAAAAAAATTGTGAACCAGAGAGATGAGCTAATGTGTTTATAGACATTCAAAATTTAAAGACAAAATGGGGTTAAAAGAAACAAACCTATCTTATATGCTTTCAGTTCATTTAATTACCCAAATTAACCAAAAAAAATTCCCCTTTATAAGGGAACAGCCATATGCATAGTGGGTAGTTATGCCCACTGTGACCTTGTACAATGCATTATTCCCAAGTTTTCTGATGTGAGATCAAGATATCTGCTACATAGCATTATGTATCCAATATTAGTTATCAACTCTTAATAATTTGACCAACAGATGTACATCTGGGATTTTGATCAAAATGATGACAGAGAAAAAGAGGGAGAGAGAGAGCACACTGGAGAGTTACTTAATAAACACTTATTAATGACATAATAGAGTGTGACTATTGGATAGTTATCCACAAGGATATCATTGGCCCCAGAATGAATGAAATGTGTTTCTCTGGGAAATAATTGTAGGGATGCTTTAGAGGGGAGTGCTCTTAGGATTGGTGGCAGAGTGAAGGAAGCAGGACTGAGCAGGGGAAGAAGAAGGGCTCACATATAGCCTTAGTGAGTGAAGACCTTGACAGTTCTCAAGTGGAGTTCTAGACCTTAAATGGCCTTTAGAATTGTCCTGAACTGAGACAAGAGGGCCTTTGTATTCCTATATTGACCAGTGAGTAGATGCAATCTGTCTGTATAAAGGAGTCATCTTGGGTGACAAGATTCTCCTCAGCCAAAGGCAACACCTAGAGAGGACTTCAGCTGAAAGCTGTTTGCCATCTGGGAGGTGGGAGAAGGAGTGCTTCAGTTTTCAAGAACGACAGTAGGTTGGCTCATCATAGCATCTGCCATAGCAGGGATCAGGGAAGATTTTCTTGAATGAGAGAATCTGAAAAATGTAAGATATATCAACATGATAAAGTTGGGTTTGTGTGTGCGGGTTAAGGACACAGTATGAAAAGTTTAGAGAAATTGCAAACAATCATAAAGAGGAGGGTATCTGGTTGAGTAAGGTAGAAGGGAACATATGACAGCAATAGCTGGATAAGTAGGTAGTGGTCAGGTCATGAAGAGTCACTGGCTGACTTTAACTTGAAGATATTTTAGACTACATCTGATTGTCTGATGGAAAAATCATCCCAACAATAGCGTGGAAGATGTATTTGAGAGCATCAAGATTAGGGGCAGGAAGGATCCATAATAGTGTGGGTGTTAGGTGATGAGGATCCGGGTAATACCACCTCTCTAGGGGAGGTATTTAATAATTTCACATTGATTGTGTGTTATTTCACATGATATGCTCATCATGACACTCTTACATTATTATTTTTCTTATTCATATTCTCTTGGGCTTTGTAAATTTTATTTTCTATCTGAGAAAATCATTTGAAGTTTCCTTAGAGGATAAAAGGAAAATATATGTGTTAGGTGCACATTTGCAAGCTCATTTATCCATTCACAACACTTAATTTTAATCAGTATTTGTCAAGAGCATGAGAAAGGGGTTTCTTCTCTTTTTAAAAACTAGGAGTATAGATTATGACTATAGCTAAATAAATTTTCAAAATAAAATTTCTAAGAATAATTTAAAAAAATAAGACTCTTAAAAGTCTTCTGAATTTAATTCAAAAGAAGAAAGATATGGAAAAAGTGAAAATATAAAACAAAAACCAAGCATGAATTCTATAGTCTTAAATTTTAGCTGTATTGTAGTTGAATTTGAGCAGATTCGAGGACCAAAATCTGATTTCCCTCATCTTTAAAATGTGTCTAATAATATCTGTCTCAAGGAGGATTAACTGATTATAAAATTATTTCATTAAATATAAAGTGCTACACACATATTAGTATTAATAGTTTCAATAATTTATCATGAAGAGGTATTCTAGCTTAAAGAGAAGAGAAATGAATGGAAGAAAAGCACATCCAAGCCTGGTGTGGTGGCATATATCTTTAATCCCAGCTACTCAGGAGGTACAGCTAGGAGGGCAAAGACCAAGCGCAGCCCAGCAAAGTCATGAGATCCTATCTAAAAAAGAAACTAAAACCAAAAATGGAGTGGTGGAGGAGCATGGCTCGATTGGTAGAGCATTTGATATGAGAATCTGAGTTCAAACTTTAGTACCACAAAAAAAAAAAAAAAAGGAAGAGGAAGGAAGGAAAGAAGGACAATACATCTAAGCAATGACGTTCAAATGGAGTCTTAAACTTAAGTTCCATTTTCTTTGCAAGAGTGAATAACACCAGTCTGTGATGTGCTAACTTCAAAAGCAGGCATTATGTTTTAATTCCCCATTTGGTAACAATGTGAATCCTACACTTAACTGCATGAGAAGGTAATGATTGCAGATCAACCTTCTGTTAGGTTCTGATAGGAGAGAGGGCCAGAACCACCAACTTATTACAGCAGCATGGCAAGAGAAATCACACTGAATGAGGCAAGAGTTGAAAGTCTTTCTCCTTCTTTGGGAAAAATATTTCTGGACCTCAGCTTTCCCTTAAAACCAGCAATATAATTTAACTTAAATTAAGTTTCTTCTTACTTTATAATTTTGATTCTCAAGGTTCACAAATCTCTCAAGAAAGAAAAATGAGGATCTCAGAGTATATGTCTCACCCTGGCTGAGAAGACTTACTTTTTGACCATACATCTATATTCCATGGCTGAGGATAAGGAATCACAGAGGTTGAAGCAAGGAGAAATGGTTCAATGAGCACAATGGGGACACTAAGAGGAGAACTATGCTCCATCTCATGCTGATGCTAGAATGACATTCATTCCATACACCCTGTAGTTGATGCCAACTATCCTCCTAACCCTTGTCTTCCTAACACGGACCACTCACACGCATGACCACCCCACCCCCTTCCTTCTCTACAACCACCTATAGAGAACAGAGAGACATTTTGGAAAGGAACCAAAAAAAATTCTTCAGGAGCCTAGAAAAAGACTAGACTAATTACTTGCTAGTCTTATTGTCAAGCTGCCTGACATTAGCCAAGTTTCATATAGTTTCAAGTTTCAGCTCAAAACATTTACATAACACTACCCCTGGTGTTTTACAGTGTTCTTTTTTTTTTTTCCATAAAACTCAAAATATTGACCTCCTTGGAAACATTTCTTACACTCCATTGCATTTTATAAATGTCTCTTCTTTGGTTTCTTGAGTCGCTGTTAAGTATACTCTTGTTCCCCCCATGAGACTATCAACTCTTTAGATATATTTCTCATCTGTTGTGGTGACATCATCACTATTTGTTAAGAAAATGATTATTATGTCTCCCAGGATCCAACCCTATACATCATCTATTAAAATGAAATGAGTCATGCCATGAAAAAGATACAGATTTCAGTTCCTAAAGAATGTTATGTTTTGAAAAGAAAAATGAAAAATAGAAACAGTTCAACTGTGAGGAGATAGCCACACTGGATGGAATAAAGCAAAAGGCTTTGGTTGCTATCATTGCAATTTTCTTGTTAAAATGTGCTGTCCCTTTAGTGCACACAATCATGTTTCCAAAACAGATGTGGAGCAGTCACAATACTGAGAGTTAAAAATCTGCATTGAACCACACAGAAATAAGGACTTGCTATAAGCCGAGTATTGCATTAATGGCAGTGATATAAATGTAACTAAAATATTCTCCTTGATCTCAAAGAATACAAACTAGGTTTTTAATGATCTAGATAGTAACAAAGCATGACTGTGAGGTCAGTAAGACTAGACACCTTGTAACTGACCGCTAAATGACCAATACCTAATAAATTTCCTGGAATATAGAAATAACACAATAAGTATTCATGGAACAAATTTACCACATCATTCTCTCAGTCATATTTTTAAGTTTTTTTCTAGTGTACAAGCTGCTTATTAAAGAAAATTATCAGGAATATTTAAAATCAATTGTATAGTTATCTGTTTTATATCTCAGGAATATACTGTATGTATTGATTACATTCTTTGTTTATTTTTGCCCTTTATATTATTTTTTGAAGCCCTCATAATTATACCTCATCTCAAATCATTCAAAAGCTAATTTTTTCTTTCCTTCAAGACAATTTGAAAAAATAAAACTTACAATAGGTGAAGAAAGTAGAACTAGAAAATGTTTTGTTAGGTGGGAACCATTATTTACTTCAAATGAGTGACTGAGTCATTTCTGTTATCAGTCTTATATGTGTGAACCTATTACACATTCATAGAAATAGCAACACAACAATAATACTATGTTTTATTTAATTCAAGGTCTTTTAGAATTTGAACCAATATCAAAGACAGTCAGTCTACAGAAATTAAAATGTAAAGCTTTCACAAAGTCTTTAAAGGCTTTTCGTAAGTCTTTGTCATGAGCCTACACAAACAACTTGATTTTCATTTGGAAGGATGATTTTCAACATTTCATTTTTGACACTTTTCCACTAAAACTGCTCAGTGGCTGTGTCCAAGGCAGTTGAACACTGCACTGAAACATGGCTTACCTATAGTTTTGCTTTTCATTTCCTATGTGGAATCTGTCGTACTGGGAGTAGGCTCGGTTCCCTTCCCAGTCCATTAACTCGATCCTTAGCGTGTACTGCCTCTGACTGGTTATGGCAAAAATAAACTCATTCCCCAGCCAATATTCACCAGAGGGATTTCCAAAACCCTGGGAAAGAAGACAGAGATGCAGTTGTTACTCCAGAGAGAAATTTCTCATGTTTAGTTTGTTTTTAAAAAAAAAGTCATTAATTTTTAAAGATATTTCTTTCAAATTTTTACATACTTTTTCACTTATTGACTTATTTCAATACTCTTCTGCTATGTTTCTCTCCATTGAGATTTTTATCTAATTCTTATTATAGTAAAACATCTGTTAATCAAATCTGTATGAATAAAATAGTTTGGAATTAAATTAATCTGGCTAGTAGATTTAACCAGAAAACACTTTTCAATTCAAAATTTGCTTTTTGAAAAAAATTCAAAAATTGTACATAATTTAATCATTTTCCAATGAATACTATTAGTATGTTATCAGACAAGTTATTTACTAATACTGTTTTGTTATTATTATTTTTATTTATTATTTGTTACTATTCAGGATTCCAATTATGCTCTTATAACTTTACAGATTATTAGACTCTTTGTCTCATTTTTTAATGTTAATAAGCAAGACTTAAATTCATGACTGTAATCATTTCTATTGCATCACTGGCATGGATTTGTGTTTTGAGGAAGGACTAGTAAAAGCTAGTAAGTGAGCCTAGCTGACCGCTCTGCATCTGAATCTCAATATAGTTCTGTTGTTTTCTTTGGAACAATTTCAGTTAGGGTTGTTAAGTATTCAAAACAGTTTCTTTGTGGGAAGAAAAAAGTAGTCCCCAAAAGTGAAGCAATTCTTAATGTTGGATATGTTCGTGATGGAGAAATATAGAACCCTTAGAAACTGCTGGCATTGTACATTTTGGGTAATCACAACTACCTTAGAAAATATTACTGGGTAATCCTTGAAGTTCAGTTTAATTCTTCATGTATCTGTTTATCTTACTGATCCAGATGTGAACTCCTGAAAATAAAATCTGTGTTGCTGCATTTATGAATCCACGAACACTAATTAATGGAGAAGTGGCACACATCGAGCATTGAAAGAAAAGTGAAGGAAATGAGGCAGGAAGGAGGGATAGAGAGAGAGAAAAAATATTAAAGCATTTTGTATTAGAGAAGTAACTTTAAAACACATTTCTTCTTGTAAACAATATGGCTGACTGTCAGCCACCCGACTAAATCATGATGACTGGAGTGGTTGAAAACAAAATTGCCTGGATTCACATGAGTCAAAGAACTGAGAACAAGCCACATGAATCTATGTGAATAAACTCCTCAATTTGTCTTGGTCTCATTAATATTTAGAAAACCACCTCTAGTAATTGCAGGGGTATGCTGATGTTTCAAAAAGAAGTAGACTGGTTAACTGAGGCATGTGTCAATAAAGGTTTTTAATCTATATTTAAAAGTATGAGGGAAGTACTAAAATAATTATAGCAGTCCTTATTATCTAAATCCAGATAACATTTGAAGATTTTTTGTTTCTTTTCAAGCTTAATATATATCCATTTTATAGAATTATAATTATAATAGACATTTTCTTTAATACCGTCTCCCTTAACCAACCTAAGAAATGAATTAGTGTTCTCCATTTCTTCTTTAAAATATACTGATGGCCAGAGTATGTTAAGGTTGCATTAAATGCTATGTATTCCTCTGTATCTGCCGATGGAATTACTTCCCCAAAGCTATTGGTATTTGGTACCATAAGCCACTGTCAGTTCTGTTATTGTAATACCAATACTTATATTATGCTATGCAAACAAGTTAAATATTAGTGAATAAAGATAGTTTTATTTTATTTTTCTAAAATCTAACTTAAATATCTACATTGACTCAATAAAAGCAAATCACTACTTTAAAAAAAATTAAACATTGTTGAGACTCTAAAAGACTAGGAAGAATAATAAAATTCTGGAGGAGTTTTAGTTTAGATTACTCTGCATGTGTCTTTAAGTACTGTTCTATTTTTAAGAATTGAATTCATGGACTCTCTTATGAGAAAGTTTTATGAGAGAGCCACTGAGCCAGAATCCTAGGCTTTGGCCCTCTAATAAAAAATGTGTAAATGAATATATCACTTTATATTTAAATTTAAAATGAAATATGTTCACATATATACACACATTGTGAAAGTTATTCCCCAATTTAATTTCTTGATTAATTGAGCACCTTTGGTCTAGATTACGCTGGGTATATACTCTTCTGAAGACCACCTCCATGTAGCTCAGAGAAAAACATATAGAATCCACTGAAGTTAGTGCTTTCATGGTCCTTGCTTCTTAGCTTCCGTAGTTCTTCTCAGCTCAGACATGTCAAATCTCTCCTATTAGCCACTTCATAATTCCCTTTTCTTGTAGTCATTTGAAAGGGATTTAGCAATTATACTAAATGTGAGTAAAGAGGCTGGGAATGATGAAGTGTTCAGTTTTAGGTCACATATTTCCACGCTGTTGGAAGCGTTGTGTGGATAAAACTCTCCAGCTTCCCCAGGGAGAAGTGCAGTGATCCCTGATGAGCCTCAGAAGTGGACAAGCATTACAGCTTTCCTGCAAATGCTTCCATCTCGGTGTCAGCATGCAGGCTGTATGCTGCCACGGAGTGTTAAAAATATCATTTCCTAAACAGTTTCCTTTTTTAAAAATTTCTTTCAAGATGAAGTAACTAAAAGAAAAGCAGTGAAAATTTCTTCTAGAAACCAAAATTCCCAGAAAACTATCCAAAAAACCAGAATGTTTGACTACAATGAATCAAAATGGCTGTTATAGAGATAGTGTAGGAGGAAACCTTCTAATAGCCAAGTGCAGTAAAGCAGAAACAACTGTTTCATCTTGAAGATGAAAAATATGCAAAAAAGGGGAAATGGAAATGGGTTCCCATGTTAGTAATCTATTTATTGAATAGATTATCACACACAGCCATGGAAATGATGTGTAGGAACAAAGGCTTGGCTTGGATTAAATAACCCTCTCTTCTGTCTCGCTCCAGTTTGAAGCCTTACTCTGTTACATAGTCACTGTGGAGCTTTCTACTTTATTCTGGGCCTCAGTTTGTCAATATGCAAAACTGGAATTAAAAATATCATTTCCATGTATAATGTTGTAGAAATGCAATATTCCCAATGCACTTAACTGAGTGCTCATACATGAAAGGCCAGTAAGAAAAATCTAGTTGTTGTTATAGTTAGGAGATACATCACAATACACAGTGTTTTTCTGTTTCGTTGCCTTTCTTCCATAAGACTGTGAGGTATTTGAGGGTTTGAAGGTGAATAGGGACCTTTCTACTCGGTATGAAAAAGGGAGCAAAATATTCCAGGGTCTTGTCTGCTGAAAACAAATAAGGGAATATTGAAATAATTATTTAAAAGGCTTTTAGAGACTAAGGATCAATATATTGTTATGACAAGTGAAGTGTTGGTTTATACAAACAGAGATTGTCATTTTAACCCAAAAAGTTATTACATGAAAAATTAAAACCACATGATTTTAAAACCGGAGCTAAACAATGGTGCAAATAAAAGCATAGACCACCTTCTTGTTCTTACCAATGCTTCTTAATGCTAGAGTACACGTCTTTAACTTTCCCTTGGTCATATTTCATTTAATGTCTCTCTCTTTCCACATCTCACACATGTCAGGATATGAAAAAGAGGTATTTTAAGGTCTTGTAGCAATGCTAATAAATTAATATTTATAAAAGTTGCTTTCAATCAGGAGTGTATATCAGAACCACCCATAGAGCATTTTAAAAACAGAGATGACATAGTTTCTTCATGGAGATTTGGATTCAATATCTGAGGTGGGATTAGAGTTTCCACAGGTGAATCTGTCATGAACCCAAGGGGAAGAACCATATAAATATAATGTGCAATAATTATTCTAGGTATGAATTAAAAGGATATATGAATAAAATAAAATTATCTGAGTAAGGCAAGGATTAAACTAAATCTTCATAGTGAACTCCAAGTTTTGCTTATGTACATGGGACTGTCTTAGGAAGAAACCAAATTCATGTCTAAATACACAGATAGTCAATGCACATCTTAAAAAATTCATACATTTTTGCACATAACAGTTTACCACAAGATAGTTTTGTCCCAAATATTCTGTAACACCCATAAAAATAAAAGCTTTTACAAAATTCTGTGCTGATGTTAAGCAAGCAGCAATGAATGAATAATGGCAAAAACATAGAATTTACTCTCTCATGAATAAAACCCAAGGAAATATTCTTTCATGAAAACTACCATGTTCCATCATAATCACATGAAAGACTAATACCATAACTTAGGTCTAGTGCTCATCAATTTTATTTCTCCTCCAGTAGTTGAATGAAAGGAAAAGAACACTGGAATTTAACTGAAAATAATACTGACTTAAAATTGGCTTTAAGAGGCACATTTCATTCAAAAATTGCACTAAAGGGAAAAGACCAATACTAATTAGTTTTTGCTAAAACCTGCAGAAATGTTCAATTCGGGCTTGTGCCTTTTCCAAGTTAATAAAATAATTATCTCTGATACTTTATTTGTTTTGTCTGATAATACTCACAGGAAGTGTTGACTTTTTATAGAAGAAACAAAATTGAAACCAGACACAGTCCTTGTATCCTATGGGTTTCATCTTTCTTTCATACAAATTATTAAAGAAAACAGATAATACTAAGCTGGGGTGCTTTAATTAGAGCCAGCGTTGGAAGTTTCTCCTTTAACTGCTGAGACTCCCAATCCAAGAAAGATCCAAAGAATTATTTCAAAAATTTAATTTCTTCAATATTTTTCTCTTTTTAATATGAAATCATTAAAATGCAGTTTAAAATGTGCTCTTCATATGAATAAATGAACAAATAAACAAAAAAGTAAAATTTAAAGATAGAAAAGAAAAAAATGTGCTCTTAATTTCTTTCCACAAACAAAGAAATCCTATAAGGTGTGGTGATGCTCAGGCTGAAATGTTTGTGTCAATAGGAAGCTCTGTTTATGGGGGTAATTGCTTTTCCAACAAACCAAGTTTGTCTCCAGGGCATTAGTCATTGCCTATTATAAAGTTAGGCCACTTAGGGTACTGCTTGGATTTTTTAGCTTCATTGGACTTTATATGCAAAAGTACTGCTGATAAGTGTTATTGCTGGAGGCCACTAACCAGTATCCTGCTATCCTTATAGCTGGAAGGAGCTAATGTAATTCTCTAAGTGCTCCATTAAAGAGACCACTACAGAGTTCCCTCTCAGCAAACATCTTTACAAATCCATAAACCAGATTTTGCTGGGTCTCCTAAGAAAGGGTAAGTAAAAGCAAATCTCAGGTGAAATACTTATAGGCTTAAAGCAAATGTTGAGAATTAAATAAAAAATTGCAAACCTTCTATGTTGACAGAGGTTTAAAAATAATGATAACATATATTTGTAATTTCATGTGTTGATAACTTTAACATATAATTCTGGAAAACTTAAGGGGTAGGAAGCTCATAGATCAACCTGAATGAAGGGAAGAAGAAAGGAAAGGCAGTTAGGAAGAGTTGAAGTATTGCTACACTCAGTGCTCAAAGAAGTGTAGTCTCCTTTACCCAGCAAAAGATGGGTGAAAATTGAGGAGGAAGTGGTGTATGCTGGGAGGTCTTTGTTTTCCCAGAGGATGTGCACTGCTAAAGAAGGGAGCTGAAGAAGTGAGCTGCTGGCTCTTTGGATGCAGGGAATAAAAGTGAGTGATTGCTAAGAGTTGTCGTAAGGAGTCTACCATCCTTCTCGATGGAATCATGCTATTTTGTCTTTAGGTGAAAGAAAAGCTCTGGAGGAGGCAGCTGCAACACCTTTTATCACGTGTGTTGGTGAATATTAACCAAGTTTTAACATATAGTGAAAACTTTTAATTTAAAAAAAGTCTTTAGAGTCATTTTTGTGAGAATGTTTCAGAATTTTTGAGCTGATCTCTTTTTCTGACCATGAATAATTGACAAAGAGGTAATAAATTTTTCAAGTTTGAATAAAGCATAATAGCTGTTCTTATTTAAAAACAGGAAGAAGGATAAATTCCATAAAACTATAAATAAAGGATAATTTCAGTCTTATTCCAATAATAATAAAAAAAGAATTGCTTAAAAGTGGATACGTTTGGTGAATACATACAAGACATGAATGGATTCCATATCTAACAAGTCTGTATCTCTTACTTAACATGCCTAATTTGCCAAGACAACAGATATTTACAGCTAATAATTCACCATTTTGGAAAATCATAATAATGACAACTTTCTATTCATTTTTATGTTATCATTAATTTTAATAATAATGCATTTCAGATTTGTCTGAATCTATAGTTATAATTTGATTCTCAGATGACTTTTCATATCTCATTTAGTGGTAGAAATAATCATGAATTAAAGTGGTTTGCAAAATAATGCTTTGGGCAGAATTAAGTAAAATTTTTGTAGTCTTTGATGTTTTAATCTTGGGTAGTAATTATATTTACTCTTTATTGACAATTCAGTGTATCAAAGTGCTTTACTTATATTATCTCTCTTCCCACAACATCTTTTCAAGGTAGATGGAATATTATTATCTTTCCTTTTTAATGTATGATGAAGCTAAGGTATGGGTTCAGTGATGTGCTAAAAATCAATCCACTAATCCTTTTGGCAGAATAGGGACTCCACCTGTTAATACAAATATATTACAAATTCTTCTTTTAATTAGAGTTCAGGTAATTTACCTCCAAATGTTTCTAGACTCCAATAAGCAGAAGTGGACCTGAGGATCTGAGCTAGCATTTCAATTCTCCCCAGCCATCCTGAAAAAATAAACCATCTACACCTTCTCTTGGGTGTTTCCACCAAAAAGGAGACATCTTGCCAGTTAATAAAAACTTATTTCTTGTTAAAAGAATTGTTTAATGTTAAACAATTAAACATTAGAGAGTGTGTTCACATAACTTTTACCTCTCTGAAATGTTCCTTCATCTATTATTGAATACCCCCTAAAGCAGTGTTAAAATGTAGATTCTAATTCAGAAAGTCTGGGGGGAAGCTGATTTCTTGTATTTCTGTAATGCTAATGCTACTCTACCTGGGTTCACATTTTGAGTTGTAGTGTGATGTTTCTATCCAATTAATTAAAATGGCTATCAGGCAGGTTTAGGCTTAATTTTTACTCTCTAACCCTAACTATTCACTTGCTCCAGACATTTTTTTCCAGATTACTCACATTCTGCTTATAAACTCTAGGAGAGTCCACTTGTTTGAAAACCTGTAGAATGGAAAATATATTCTTTTTTCTTCTTCTTTTTTTTTTTAATGGCAGCACTGGGGTTAGAACTCAGGGCCTTATGCTTATAGGTACTCTTACAGCTTGAGCTGCTCTGCCAGCCTGCATATTGTTTTTTTGGGTTTTTTTTTTTTCAGTACTGGGTCGTAAACTCAGGGCTTACAGCTTCAGCCACTCTGCCAGCCCTTTCTCTGTTAGGTATTTTCGAGATAGGGTCTCACAAACTATTTTCCTAGGCTGGCCTCAAACTGCGATCCTTCTGATATCTGTCTCCTAAGTAGCTAAGATTACAGGTGTGAGACACCAGCACCCAGCTGCATATTTTTGATATAGTCAGATACTAGTGAATTTTGCATTCCTTGTGACCTAACCTTGCATTTTCTTTTTTATTAGCATACATTCATTGTAAAGGGGTATTCATTGTGACCATTCTGGATAGCCTTGCATTGCATATTACCCTTGCAGTTTTTGATCTAAGTAAAAGAGCTTATAATTAATTATCTCTGTACAAGTCTATGCTGTTGACTTCAACCTACTTTTCCTTTCTTCTTTTATCATTTTTACATTTACTTACATGTGTATGCATTGTTTATGCCACCTCCCCCCTCCCCTGCAGCTTACTTTTCTATCTTGTTTATGGTTTATTAAAGACATCAAGATTTCAATTTTGTGTAACTCCAAACAACTAACCTATATTCAGAGTATTCAGAGTGTCTCATAAAAATATTGTAGACACAAGGACAGAACAGGAGGCCTTCATTTACTTATTAAAAACCGTGTTTACTGCCATCTAATAATAAATTTACTAGTAATTTTTATGTTGTCTACAGGATATCAAAATAGAACTTTGGTTAGTATAGCACTTCTATCACTTATGATATTTTTTACCTTTCAGAGAGAGGAATTTGTTGAAAAGTCAAAACAAGATTTATCCAGAAGTTTTAGATTTAAAATAAGGAAAACTGCCAGGCACCAGTGGCTCATGCCTGTAATCCTAGCTACTCAGGATTGCCATTCAAAGCCAGCCCTAGCAAATAGTTCACGAGACCCTATCTCTAAAAACCCTATCACAAATTTTGGGTTGGTGGAATGGCTCAAGGTGAAGGCCCTGAGATCAAGCCTCAGTACCTCAAAAAAAAAAAAAAAAAGGAAAACTGATCCATTAATGAAAATCTCCTCCATTACTTGTGCCTTGACATTCTGTGAGCAGATTTTAGTACTTGATACTATAAGCACTGACCATGAGTTTATTGGATTATGGATTATCTCAAACATTTGCTTTCTCTTAGGAAAGTTGATCTCCCTAATTTCAGTTTCTTCTTAAAGTAGTGACAGTGATAGTATTAGATAATAGGTTTGATAAAAAATAGATAAGCATGTATATAGAGGACTGGTACATATTAAGCATTGAGAATGTCAGTGATGATGTTTGCTGTTATTTTTGAGACTCCAATAAACCATGTTTTAGACTTCTTACCCTTGTGTGCTCCTCTCACCTTGAATCTGGACTGGGCCTGTGGTCAATTTTAACCAACAAAATGTAGTGGAACTATCACTGTGCCATTTCTGGGTCTAATAAAACTTTAAAAATAGCCTGAAAACTTTGACTTCTGTGCTTAGGGGATGCCAACTATGACATGAGAAGTCTGACAATCCTGGGTCACTGAAGTCCAGCTTAGTCATGTGAAAAGGTAATTTGGAGGAATTCTGTTTAGCAACCTTCAACAACTTGCCAACCATGAGAATGAGGTCATTTCTGGGAATGAGGGTCATCTGACCCTCTCCACAACCTACAGCCCTTCACAACGCCCGAGCCCTGCTCACATATCCAGCCTGGGTCTGATTCTAACTATTCAGGTTCTCATTCAACTAGGAACAAATCCAGGCAATACATAAGAGTTCACCAAATAATTATAAGAAAACATTTTTCTTTCTGATACACACATGGAAATCATTTACTGAAAATGATTTATGATTATTTTGTGTGTTATGAAAATAATGCTCTTAATGTTGTATTGTTGTATTTTTAAAATAACTCAAGAGGATCTAAAAATGTGAAGGTTATCATATAATGTGATGAAGATAACCTTATGATAAAACATCAAAAAACACTGTAAATTCTCCCAACTTACCATTTTATATTCTTTCCAGCCTCTTTGGAAATCCAGACTTCCGTCTTCACGATGTTGTATTACAGTCCAACCTCCCCCATTTATGTCCATATTGCAAAATACCTGAAAAATAACAGAAATATAAAGGCAAGGAGTATTACATTTATTTTAAAAATATATCTGATATGTTTCAAAGCTGAAATAGGATGTATAGACCTGTTGGTCTATAAGAAAAGCTATACTGGAAAATGTGAATTCAGTCATATTCTTGGTTTTTTTCTCATAATTCATATTTGAGTTGCTTTTTTATTCAGATTCATTAATGGTACATTAATTTCTTGTAAAAATTTGGATCAGACAGGAAATTAATAGTCTGAGAGTCAGACTATAAACCATTTAAAAACATCTTCATGTTAAATGGAAATAAGTTTATGTAAGGTTATATTTTAAACATACTACTAAACTTTCCAAAATTGTAAACCATTTTAGGGACAAAACATAAGACTCAGAATTTTAAAATCTTTTACTGAAATGGCAATGTAATAAGAACAAAGGTTTTGGGAAAATATTTTAAATTATATATTTTAACTATTTCATATTTTATTGCATAGTACATACATACTTACATAGTACGGTAATTATTCTTGATTGCTCCATATTACATTATTACCCTCAGCTATGGAGAACACATTATTTGCTTAAACTTTAGTCATGAACAATAAGAAAAGAACATGACATACTGCATTTCTTCTGACTGCAACAAGCATTTCTTTCCCATGTGGAAATGTAACCAAATCTTTCAAAGACTTATATTTGTTTCAGTTATTCTAAATACAATAGTATTTATTTAAAAATGGATTCATTTTCCCCATCGGTAATAGGATTATCTTTGGAGAGCAATCACTGTAATTGATATAACATCAATGTGGCCACTTGATTATGCAAGGGCTGAGCTATAGGGAACACCATCCTCCAGCAATTGAGTAGTAAAGCATTTTGAAGGTTGGTTAAAAGTGTGGAAACAGCCAAGATGCCCCACCACTGATGAATGGATTAAGAAAATGTGGTATCTATACACAATGGAATTTTATGCAGCCATGAAGAAGAACGAAATGTTATCATTCACTGGTAAATGGATGGAATTGGAGAACATCATTCTGAGTGAGGTTAGCCTGGCCCAAAAGACCAAAAATCATATGTTCACCCTCATATGTGGACATTAGATCAAGGGCAAACACAACAATGGGATTGGACTATGAGCACATGATAAAAGCGAGAGCACACAAGGGAGGGGTGAGGATAGGTAAGACACCTAAAAAACTAGCTAGCATTTGTTGCCCTTAATGCAGAGAAACTAAAGCAGATACCTTAAAAGCAACTGAGGCCAATCGGAAAAGGGGACTAGGAACTAGAGAAAAGGTTAGCTCAAAAAGAATTAACCTAGAAGGTAACACACACGCACAGGAAATTAATGTGAGTCAACTCCCTGTATAGCTATCCTTATCTCAACCAGCAAAAATCCTTGTTCCTTCCTATTATTGCTTATACTCTCTCTACAACAAAATTAGAAATAAGGGCAAAATAGTTTCTGCTGGGTATTGAGGGGGTGAGGGGGAGAGGGAGGGGCGGAGTGGGTGGTAAGGGAGGGAGTGGGGGCAGGGGGGTGAAATGACCCAAGCCTTGTATGCACATATGAATAATAAAAAGAAAAAAAAAGTGTGGATATGAGGCAACAGCAGAAAGGAGGCCATATAGGCACAGAACTAGTAAATGAAAAAGCTTGGTGTTTTCTCTGATGTATTAAATTTGGAGCACAAATGGCCAAAGGGTATGAAAGCAATGGCAAGAACTGTCATTCAAAGGACAAATTGTTCATGTATTTCCTCAGAGTAAAAAGAGCTAAGACCTGAATGCCTATGTGAGCATATGAAGTGGGACAAGAGCTCTCTGGAGGGCTTTCCCTCTAATTTGACAACAATCATCTACCTGTGGATCTGCATCATCCCAAAGAAATGAACCATCTCCAAGATTATAAAATTTAAATTCCCCCTCTTATTCACCTCTACTAACCCTTTAACCTTTTCCATCTGCAATTTGTCCTCAGCATAACTTCTAGCTAGCCTTTCATCCTCCTTAATTCCTTCACTTACTTTTTCACTCAACAAGCATTCTTGGGCACTGATTCTGTATTACAACTGAGGACAACTGAGGACATTATGATGAATAAACTGTGGATCATGTCCTCAAAGCACTTCAGAATTACAATAGTGACTGATCCCATAGGCTGAAGGGGACTTTAGAGTCCTTAATTTTCAACTCCATTAATCCAAAGAATAATAAAAGAATAATGCTTTAAATGAGATAATTTAGAAAAAGAGCTAACATGTGAGAGAAGAAAATGATGGTTTTGAACACTTAGTGTTTGACATAACACAGCCATCACAAGTAGAATTTTCTTGAGCAGTTAGAGATGATTTACTGGAAATTGGCCAGAAAATAAGATCATAAGAAAGGAATGGACATCATTAACAAAGGCATGTCTGGAAGTCCAGATAATATAAATACTTCAATGTCTCAACAACACTATGAATAACATGATTATTATTGCCATTTTACAGATGAAAAAACTGAAATACAGAGTTTTTCAGTGATTTGCCAATGGTTATACTTAACAATTAGTGCTGGATACAATTTTGAAACTGGATTTAAGATTTGAACCCTATGTCTACCTAATTGAAAATGAAATCAGTAGTTGATCTCATACAGCTGAGTTTGTCATTTAAAGAGGTAAAGATAAAAAATGTTTAGAGATGGGGTGGATCCATGAGTGGGCTTTGGTGAACAACTGATGCAAATAAAATACATCAGTAACTTTTTGATGAGCAGGTGTTTGGTTTTATTTGATGTGAATTTCCAGCTCCTAGAGTAGCACCTAGCCTATTGTAGGTATTAAATAAATATTTGTTGACAAGATAGAGATGAAGTAATAATAAAATAAGATAACTTGATTATAGAATGTCAAGAAAGCCAGGATGAATGTGGAGTTGGGGGAGTGATAAATTTAATCAAATATTTGAAAGAAGTCAAGGTAGACAGGATTAAAAATGTAAACTGGAAATGCAGTTATTAGTGATTGGCCAGAGAAACTGCAATATTCTTGTAAGAATAAAATTAGATGGCACAGTTTAAATAGAGCATAGATGGTGATTCAAGACAAGTGACAGAGGGCTGGAGGTGGTATAGCACGTCTCTAGCAGGCACAAGTCCTATGTTCAAAATCCCAGTATAGAAAAAAAAGATAACTGACCAAGGTGAAATTTTCCTGGTGAAATTTTAAATGAAATAATGGGATGTGAAAATTTCAAGGAACTATTTTGCTAGGGGAAACTACTGTTACTAGGTCACCACTTTCTTAATTAACTTTTACTTTGCCTTAACTAGTTAATTCAAACTTTTCTTTCTTTTCCCTGTCTCCCTCTCTCCTCTCTCCCTCTCTCTCTTCCTTCCTCCCTCCCTTCCTCCTTATCTTCCTTTTCTTTCTCTCTGACCATCTCTCATCTCAACCACCTTTATTTTTCTTTAGGATACTTATTTCCTGATGAAAACTTTGCCAAACTGCTTGTAAAGCTGTAAAGTCCACTACAGGAAAGAAAATACTGTATTTGTAACTTTAGGATTTATAAGAAAAACTATGTTTTGTAGGGAAAAGTATGTTGTACAGTTTTTAATGTCAGTTGTGTTATTAAACTTCTATGCACTTCACTTTAAAAGTCACAATTCTTTGAAAATGACAATTATCTTTTCAAACAGAGACATCTAGCAACCTGTAAATATTAAGAAGGACTGAGATTATATCCTACATAAAGACCTAGAGAAAGACAGGGCTCCATGGGGAGGAGCCCTGGGTTTAAAGCTGAGATGCAGAGAGATTGAGGGGTCTGATGTGTATGTCACAATTTCTATTGAGACTTAATAGGAACACTGATATCAGCTGTCATTGGTGTAGCATGGGCATAATGGGGCTGCATAACACATTGGTTAGGCATATGGACTTGAGTGCTGCATGACCTGGATTCAAATCCCACTTCTATTCTTCCTAACTCTTAAATCTTTTGTGGGGACTGAGTCAGTGCATGTGAAGCTTTGAGAACAGTGTTGGGCATGCAGTATGCACTGTCATCACCCTTCTGACATAGACGCATTTCATAGAAAAAATAGCATGGATTATGTTACGCATTATACACTGCAAGAATATAATACTTCCTATATTGAAGCACAGGTGTTATATATAGCACAACATTTGGCTTATCTTATTTATAATTTATTATGAATAGATTGGAATATATAAAACCAATGTATGCAAAATTTCAATAATTTTTCCTTATGATTATAATGGCTGGCTTCTATTTATTAATATTTGCAGCACTAATCTTTGATCATGTTGTTTTTAGTAATAAATCTACAAATATTTAATAAACTAATATAAATATTTAATAAATATATACTTAAGAAATTGGAGTTAGTCTTGCAAAAAAAGAAAAAAACCTGTTATTTCATCTGTAGTCAGAAATAAAAGAAAAGGCCTATGCTTAACAGATGAAGGAAGTTCCAGAGAAGAAATGGTAAGTTTCAGAAAAATTTGAGACATTAGAGAACCTGAAAAGTTTATTCATCAGTAGTGTGTGGTCTGTGCTATCTGGCATGCTCTTCTGTGGGCAAGGCCCCGCTGCATTTACTAAGCCTGGTGCATGTATTGGTCATAAGACTGGGCTTAATTCTATCCAAGAAAAGACTAAACTGGCTCCTCTCCCAGGCAAGGTCAAAGCTTTCAAGCATTAAACACCTTTTAACATAATATGGAGGTCTCTACCCAAACAAAAAGTGGAAATTTGATTCACATAGTTTTTATGTTCCATACAAATTGGAAAGATTAGCCTGTGGGCATTAATTATTTTTTCCATAATCTTAAATGAAAACGGCTCAACACATTTGTTACAGTCTTTTCCAAGAATTAGGGGAATTAGGAGCTCAGAAACAATATTTTAATATTTTACAATAAGACTTATGATTTAATGGTTTGTTTTCTTGGATGAAACTAAGCTAGCTACAGGGCACTGATTTTAAAAACTTATGAAGTGAAAAAAAAAAATATCCTGTCTCCCACTACTATGCATTGAAGGGAATTCAGAAAGGAAAAAAAAAATCACAAGCCAATAATACTATGAAAGCAAAAAGAAAGATATTAAAGGTCAATTTCTCATTTTTTATCAGCTTGAAAAATTAAATCACCCTTGAAAATCACTTTTGGCTTTCACATCACATTTGCACAGGCAACACTTTTCCAACTTTTGCAAACATTTCTTTTTTGACATGTAGCAATGTCAGTCAAAACAGTAACTTTAACAATTCTCTTATAGTTGCAACTCATACTGCCTAAAAATTGAATAATTTTGTTAATAGTTTTTGTCAGTTGTCTTAAATCACCCAATTTTATTGATTGGTCCGTATTCCATATCGAACACATTTGACGATGTTGTTTTGTTTCATTTGTATTGGGGTGTCTGAGTTTCTTACCCTTTCTAAAACTTCTGAAGGCATTATAGTGAGCAAACATTTTGCTAAGCCATCCTAGGGTAGCACCAAATGGTTTGTTTATTATGCCCAATCTGTTTGGAAGGGTAAAGGTCTTAAAGATGAAAATTCTTGGTCCTTCTCATATGATTAAGAGAATATTAGTGATTTGTATCAAAAAGGATAAGAAAGTGAAATTATAATATGGAAGGGAGTGAGGTGTATTATAATAACATTAATCAGTATACTTAGCTTTCTAATAATAAACCCTTGCTTGTGTCACCCATGTCATACATGTCTGCTCTCCATGGGGCAATAAGTTTATATTAAAAAATATGAATGGTACTTTAGTCACCACTAATATAAATAATTATCCCACATAGCCCTATGGTTCAAATGGAGCAATCTGGACTCATATCCTTTATTTTAAAGCCAGTGTTCAATATTCACCAGCTATATAATTTGGGAAAATTATTTTCTACAATAGAGATGAATGTCTATCTCATTGGGTTGTTGAAGAGGGTGAATGAGTTAGTGCTTAGTACAGGCCTAGAAAACTTAATGAGAAATGTATTTGAAATGTTTCAATCAGCTTATAAAATACTTGGTAAAATTCATATTTACATTTGTCCTTACCAATGATATGCTAAGTGATTTTGGTAAGGCATTTAAAACAAAATGTGTTACTATAAAAAAAAGTGTAGGTATGTCAAGAACAGTGTTACTACTTGTAAGAGAATCCATGATCATCATGAAGGTGAAAGAATAAAGAAAGAGAAGGAAAACCCAAGCCCATAGGAAGGGCAAAATCTTTTTTCCTCTTATCTGTCATTACCTGAGTTTACCTGATGTCATCTGTTTTATTCCCAGGAACACTAATGAGAGTATAAACCTGGTTATGTGTGAACTTCTCTCAGAAAATCAGTTTTTCAGAGCACTTTCCACCTCTTACAGGTATGAACTGATATTTCTGCTAACTTGCTCATGCTAGTTTTAAAAAATTTTTCCTAGGCCTAAATATCCGAAGTATATCCAAATGATATTTGACTTTGTTGATTTAATCTGTTGGGTTTTACTTATTCAAGAACAGTTCTGAAGCTCCATGTTATGCAAAACCAAACATTTAGTGGAACAGTAAGTTTAAACATGCAATCTTGGTGAATACAACTTAGGAGCTAGCCATCTAGAGTTGGATCCTCCTGCCATTTCTTTTATGTAAATATGAAAGTATTCAAAAATATGATTAGGAAGGCATATTTTTCTTCCACCCTAACAGGAGCAGTGGTTTGGCCCATAGGCTGTATATCATTTGCATCTCAAAATATTTTGAACTGCAGTTGAGTTATGGGTATATATGAATTAAATTAACTGAGTTAAATCTTGAGGAATGATTAACACTTTATTTGTGACCTTTCTTATTCAAGGTTCACCTAGTAGTACTGAAGATGCAGTGAAAATAATCATAAAAGCCCGAATGTTCTCAATCTAAAAACCTTGAAAATTATTTTTATATGCTGTATATCATAGGGTCTTTAGGAGTCTAAAAGTAGAGTCAGTTAATATCTTTTGTTAACTTCATTTTTATGGTCAAGTTATAAGCTACAGTGTCACTGATGATATAGTAAGGGGTTCTTTCAGGTCTTAAACAGAATTAAAGCTATATTATATTCTAGCTCTTCTAGGATAATTTCTCACACACTTTTCATCCTATGTGAGTAGGGTGTTGTGTGTGTGTGTGTGCATTTAATTTAAGCATGATTATTATTAATTTTAGGATATCCAAAAGGCTCCTCCATAAGTTACCCTCATCTCCTCACACACCTTTTTATCTTTATAGTTTTCATTGGGCATTTTAAGTCAAATACCATACAGCACATGACTCAAAAATATCTTGCTCAGAAACCCCAAAAGAAAATCAGGTGAAGCCAAATTTCTGTAGCATGTGGCTAAGGTGTCAATGCATGGAACTGTACCTGGCTGCTATTCCTCCCTCCTATGTTCATTCACCCGTACCATTTCCCTAACTGCAGAACAAAATTGCAGGTCTCCTTTGAGAAGAAACCTTTGCTCCAGGAAAGGGAAAAAGATACTGATCTAACCTGAACCACTAGTCCTTATTGAAATCATGAGAAAGAGAGCAGTGGTAGAAAGGGATTAGCATTTGATCAGACTTGGACTGCAGTCCAAAGTTCTTGCCTTGGCAATCACATGATACGTGTCAAACTGGTCTCCAAGATTCATTTCTTTTGCCTATCAAAGAGACTAACGGTCAGGTAGACGAATTAGAGTCACTACATGCCATATAAAAGTGTAGGCATTATAATCAGCAGGTCATTCATTTACTCATTCTTTCTAGCACATATTTGTTAAGGACTTACAATGACAGAAACCATGCTAACCCCCAGGAAATCAAAGATAAAAAAGACACAGTCCCTGCATTATAGAATTTTGGTAGTGAGAACACCATGCAGAGTTGCTTGGGGGCATGACGGAAGGCCTTCCAGAAGTACAGGACCCAGAAGAAAGGTAGACATGTGATATGTAATGTAGGGGAGGCAAAGAGCAAAGGAAAGCTGTTCTATCCCGCAAAAATCAGATAGAGGAATGAAGACAGTGCTTACTTACTTCAACTTTTACACATTGAAAGGCAGAGCTCTTTTTTCTAATCCCACTCGCTTTGGCAGTCTCACCTCAAAGATCCTCATCTACCCGGCTTCAGAAAGACTGTATCGCCACAGTTTTATAGTATTCTATAATTATCTGTGTGTCTACCTTCTCCACTACATTGGGTACTGATTGCTTCCTATTTATACTCCTGGACAGCGAATGACAAATAAATGGCATCCACTTCATTATACTGAATGAAGGCTTGGGTGGATGACTTAATGGGTAAATTTGGGTGTGTGTAGAGTATATAAAGGAGATGTGACAGCCAGAAGGCAGCATTTGCCTACTTCAAAGTTTACTTTGGGTACTGTTCAACATACTGAATCTGTTACATTTTCTTATATAAATATGAAAAGCAAATCCTTTTAAGATTATGAGTTAAGATAGAGTATGTTCCTTCTACTTTAATAGGAGCAGTCATTTTGCAAAAAGTTATCTGTGCCCTGATAGCATATGTGGAATGGATGATGTGTACTCTTTGAGTTCTTGAGATTTTGGGAGATAATTCCTTATTCTTCCCCATTTACTCAAGGTAGGGATGAACTTCATGTGTAATCTGTATAAGGCAAAGATTTATGAGTAATGGACATCTCAAGAGTAGCAGAAAATAAAATTTATGTGAAAAAAGGAAAGGAGATACAGGGTTTAAAGTGTTTTCAACACAGTGTAGCTAGGAAAAAGAGCTCAGGAAAAAAAATATATGACTTAACAAGCTCCCAAATCAATCTGATTATCCAGCAGTTCATTTGGAATCTGCTTTATATCTCATAAACAAACACTTCTGTTTTTACCTTTTTGGGTTCTGGCATATTATTTATATAAATAGTGTAGATTCCACTTTTATTAAAACCAGCGTGATATACATCTGCACAGTCTCTAAATGGTTTCTCTTCCTCTCTTTTTCCTCCCTTTAGCAAAACTGCAAAAAAGAAAAAAAGAGATTGCAATGTATGAATAAGAATATCGGTACCATTAGCACCCAAATGGGCTCCAAACATAGACAAGCATGTCTTTATTTGCTCCACACAAATGTCAATATTACATTTACTGGAAAATCAAATATGCAGACAATACTATATTCTAAGGTAACTACAAAATTTAAAAATCTGGAGGAAAAAGCTATAGAACAATCTCTAATTTTTACATTTCTAATTGACATTTTTTTACCTTCCTTTTATTCTCTACCTTTTCCAAAACATCAAGTCAAAGGACAAATGACCTGATTATGTAATACCTCCAATGGGTAGTGATTTATGTCGATGCTTCCTGCAAAATTTCTAAAACATTATTACTGACATTTCATAGGAAATGAAATAACTATTTAATTATTTATTGGTTTGTTTTGTTTATTGTGGTACTGGAAATCAAACCCTGCGTCTCAGAAATGCTAAGCACCTGATCTACTATGTGTAAAACATTTTTGGAGAAGGAAGAAATGAAGAAAGATTCAAACATAAAAAATGTAGTTGGGCTGGCAGAGTGACTCAAGTAGTAGAGCACCTGCTTAGCAAGTGTAAGACCCTGAGTTCAAATCCCAGTACTGCCAAAAAGAAAAAGGAAAACAAAAGGAAAGAGAAAGAAATGCACCATGGCATTTAAAACACTCATAATAGGTATTAGTTTTCTTCTTTGGCTTTAGATTAAATAGGTCCTGGAAAATTTTACCAAAACCAACTCATAAAAAATTTGTATTTGGAAAGTGGAAAAGGGATTAGGACCCAATTTAACTACCTAGAAAGAAAATTTAATTACACTTTCTTCTTTTTTTAATGCCCTGAAGTTAGCCACAAGGCAAATGACATACAAATAGAAAAACAAATGAATAAGACTTTAAAATTAATTTATACATGGGCACTAGTCATCTTAAAGGCTAGAAGTCAAGGGAATACTGGAAACTGAGAGATAGTCTCTACTGAGAGAGCTTAATTTTACTTATTGTGTTTTATTGATTATTAAGTTCTTATTAATGAGATAAAACACAAAATGACTCAATAGTTCTGAGATAAAAATGTGATATAGTACAACATATGAATTAGTTTTTTCAAATAAATATGTGCTATTTTTGTAATTAGTTTTATTTAACTTTTCTTCTGGAAATTAAGATTGAGACTAATTCTTAATCATACCCTTAAAGTTACCTCTTATTTAATAATTATATTTATAATCAGATTGATTCACAATATTTCATAACAATAAAAAAACAAAGATATGCTATGAATCAATGCTTTTAAATTGACTTTAAATACTAACCTGATTTAATCTTCGGTTGTGTAATGTTTACTAATTTATACATAATAAGTACCCTCTTTGTGGAAAGAAATACTACTTAAATGTAAATGTTTCAAATTTTCAAAACTAATAAATTATGTTTCAAGAAGATTTATTCACAGCAATGAGTTGCCGTAACAAAAAGTATTAAATCATTTAATAACATCATAGTTTTCTCTATAGCTCATGTGAACACTAATGGTTTTCCTTAGTTACATTAATAATTACACCTAAACATCACCATTGCAATCACAACTACAATATCAACACAAAATAAGTTAGCTAATTAGAAGGATATAGGTTCACCTGACAGTGAGGGAGTGCTATAAACAATGCACACACTAGCAGTGTGAAATGTACATATTTTAAAATGACATTCAATGGCATTGGGCATGTTAATGGGCTATACAAAAGCAAGGTTTTCAGAAGCATCAATGCCGTTCACAGGCGCTGGCTTATTTTAACTTTATAGACTGCTGTTTTTCAAAAAACACACTATTCCTAAATACTAAATACTTGATCTTTTCTTATGGTGAAAAGTAGAAAAATAACCTAATTAGATGCCCAAAATAGAGATATAAAAAATCGCCAACTACGATTTATGATTCGTTGAGGGAATGAAAGGCACAGGAAGATGTGGTCAACAGGAACCCATTGGTAAACCTATTTTTCTTCTTTGGGTGAGAGCTTAAGAGAGTCTTTTATCTAAGGAGAAAATGCACTCTTGTTAAAGTTACCACTTCCTGGCCTCCTGTATGTGGTTATATAAAAATAATTCCCTTTCCTCCTTTCTGCCTCCTCTACTCCCCTTTTCTTTTCCACTTCAGGAAGATGTGGGTGAAGAAACTGTTCTGTGGGAAGAAGGATTGCCATTTCACACACATTTTCAATAACAGAGAAAGAAGGAAAAAGTTGGCTATTGTCTTATTCTTATCCAAATCATGAATATAAATTCTACACCTGGGAAAATGATTTGGATGTTCTATCATCAAAAGGTACAACTGGTATTATGGTTACACCATGAATTTAGGTTATTGTAATGGTGGCACATATGACCTAAGTCTATGATCTTTATTTTATTGAAATTTAATAAATTTATTTTATTGAACATTTTTTGAAAAATTCAAATATATTCTGTTAAGAAGATGTAATCATTCTGTCCAGAAACATTAGATTGCTTGTTTTTAATTACTAATTAATTAGCAAACATTGTGTTTGGAAGTTTCACTCAAGCTACATTTTTGAGTGTTAAAGCATTTTAAAATCAATTTAAAACTGTCATCTACAGATTATCTTTGGTATTATATTCAATGGTTTGAAGAAGAAAGGTAGATTGACTTTTATTGTTTTCTATTTGTTTACTTTTTAAATCTATGAGGTGAGATATATATATATAAATATTTCTGAGATATTTATATGAAACACAAACAGAACAGAATGAGTGAAACATAGTAAGTATTTAAGAAATGATACTTATTTTTCTAAGAATGGAAGGAGGAGGTTAAAGAATGATGGTGGGGGTGAATTTAACTAGGATATATTGTAAGCACTTTTATAAATGTCTCTTATACCTCCAGTACTACAATAACATGACAATTAAAAAATGAAGCACAGGTAAAACAGTTCCCGTTTGGGGATTGGTACCATTGGGAGGGAGAAGGACATAAGAAAAGAATGAAGGGGGTGAATATGGTAGAAATATTATATACTCGTGTATGAAAATGGAACCTATTAAAGAAGGGGGTGAGAGGATAAATAGAATGGTGGAGGGAGTGAATCTAGCTAAGCTATACTGTGATCATTTTTGTTAATACACAATGTACCCCCTATATAATAATAATATGCTAATAAAAAGAAATGGTAGTTATTATTATTGATGTGTCAATGATAATAAAACCATTAATGGCAACATTAAACTATTATTCATTATTATGGAGGAGACTCTAGCAGTATAGAAAGCCAGCAAGTTTAGTGCACAGAGTTCTGGGGTATTGTGTCTTCCACGCGCAAGTTCAAATATTACAGCTGAGTGAATCCAGAGCAGGTACTATTGACTGGTTATTTGTAGGAATATATTAAAACTTGTTTTCCTTGTCAAACTTGACTAATTGAATTATTTCATTCATTGAGCAAATAAGGTTATACCATCACTATGTAAGTCTAAAAGAAACAGGTAATCTAAACTTACTGTATATTATAAGACTTCCCTAAACAGTTAAGATTTAAATATTATTTATGACATGAAATGATTTGTAATTGTAGACAAATTTGTTGGATGTAACTTTTTGCATGATTATTTTCATTGTTAAATACTGGGGAGTTCTGAAGTCCAATACATATTATGAAACTGAAAACACAATAAACATTTTAAGACGTGGAAAGACAACAACAAAGATGAATTTACGGAACTTTGCAAATGTTGGCACAATGATGATTTTTAAGGAAGTCTTTAGAAGACAGAGCCTACAGGAATGTGTGGTGAATGACAAGAGATGGCCACAGAAGACTATGGAAGGGTATACAAGAGGTATCAACTAACAGAACTAGGGAGTGATTTAGGGACCTAATAAATACCTTTGTCTTCCTCTCAAAGTGGTTTGAACTTTTTGTAAAAATGGAATGACCTGAAAGTGTGAATTTAAAAATTGATCTTTATACTTAAAGTTCCCTTTTTGACCAGATATTCTTATCTTTCCTCTCCTATTCTTTAATACCCAATGTCTTTACTGTATTTGAGATTCTGGATCCCCACCATTGTATCAGCCCTTTCCTAAACTCCCTTATATTTCTTCCTAGCCTTGCTCTTAGAGTCAGGTGTTTAAGAAGAGTTCAGGCAGCATCTGTAGTAATCTTCATCTACAGATTCTTGCATAGGTAAATCCTGACCTCCAAAGGGGCAGGCATTCATTCACTTTTTCACATCTATTTGGTGATTGCAAACACTATGTTATTTATTTTTTCAAAAATTATTTTTATTGTCATATTATTGTTGTACTGCGGGTATAACATTTACAAAAGTGCTTATAATATATCTTAGTAAAATTCCCCCCTTCCCTCCCTCCCCCATTCTTAAAATAGTTTCATTGTCATTTCTTATACACTTTATATCAGTTTTATTTCCCACAGAGTGTACTTCAAATTTCTCACTCTTTAGTGACTAAAATAAATTACACTTCTATCTTCTCTCACTCTTTACATGACTTTTGTGGTATAATATAAGGGTCAAAGTCATCTGATACGTCTCCCTCACTCCCTCTCACTGTATTTCAGAAGTCATCTTTGTCTCTCCCTCACCTTTTGTGTTTGTCTCTCCTAGTCCCTTTTCTATTTTTGTAATTTCTTTCTCCTTTATCTTTACTGGTTTCTCTCCCTCTCCTAACCTACCCTGTACAAGTGTATGCTCACTGGATTCCATTCTTGGATTTCTGTTTCTTGCACATCTACTTCTTGTGTAGACGCCTATCATGACTTCAAACTTCTTTGGAGATGTCTATGATATGTAAATGTTTTTAAAATCTCTATGTTCACCTCCCTCTTGACATCATGATACCTATTTCTACTTTTCTATCAGGCGGTTCCTATTGGTATCCCAGGTTTCTTTGTTTTTATGATACCTAATCTTTCCTTTAAAACCCTGTGTTGCCTTATCTC